CCCTTTAATTATTAAAGTGATTCTTTCTAAACTGATTCTGATTCCTGGTTGATGGGACAGGTGTTGTGAATGAAACGGTGCCCAGCTTGAAAGAGCTCCTGTGTGTCTCTGAATGTGAGCATTGATGACTGAAAGACATCTTCTGCCTCCATTTATCTGTTTACTACAGTCTGTTGGATTCATGTTCATGTGGATTTAAAGACATTTCAATTAGTGGAAGAAAATGGAGGAGGGAATATAGAAAAAATAAATAAAAATCAACCAAAACTTTTGCGACCCTCATGCAGTACCTCTGTGGCCCCCTAGGGGTCGTGGACCCCCTGTTGAAGACCTCTGAATTAAATGATATGACTGTATTTGTGTGTCTGATGTGTTTTAACCAGGTATCCTTTAAAGGTGTTTAAGGTCCAGCAGGTAGAGAGAGACACGGCATCACTACCACAGAGCGACGGCAGCATCACAGCAGGCTAACCGGGAGCTAAATCTAACGCGCTGTCCTGCAGAAGCGGCTCACCTTGGATGGCTGGACGATGACGTTTGTAGACGGCTGGGAGACGTTCACCGTCTGACTCCTCTGCTTTTGTTCGTTTACAGTCTCTCCTGCAGGGGAAGGAGAACAGAATCAGACACACAACAAGTGATAAACTCCAGGTTTCTGTTAGCTTCTGACTTCCAACCACTAAAATCTACCTCAACTTTCAACATTCGGACCCAGGATCTAAAATCCTCCTTTCTCACCACTAACACTGAGAACGCCGCTCATTATTAAAGGTCAGAGGTAAAAACGTCTGCAGCTTCATCGTTCTGCAGATTTGGCTTCAGCTGCTGATGTCCTGACCTGATGGCGCCTCCTCAGATCAGGAAGTTAACAGGAAGTTCAGCTGCAGCTGCAACCCTTTTAGGCTCCGCCCAGTTCAGCATCAGCAGGAGCATTAATCCCTGTTGACCCATCCGACCAGTCAGCGGTCGCCAGAGCAACAGGCAGACCATCAGCAGGCGGCCGATTGTTCCTCCCTTATGTGTCCTGGGGGTGAACATCACAGACGCTGCGTGTCCCGAGCCCGTGACATCATCAATGACCCCTCACCCCTCCCACCATGGACTGTTCTCCCTGCTGCCCTCTGGGAAGAGGCTTCCCAGCATTCAATGCAGGACCAGCAGGTTCTGCAGCAGCTTCTTCCCCACCGCCATCACACTGAGGAACTGTTGAAATAACGCTGAATGATGTCACAGACTCTGCATCACACTGATGACACCAAACCAAAACTCTGCATCATATATATTAATGCTCTGAACTTCCAGATCAATGTGTTTTTGCTCCATTTTTCTCCCACACTGTTTACATTTGATCACTGCTGCACTTTAAGGAATAGAAATGTTTATTTACTTTCTGAAAGCTCAAAGTTGTCTAAGTCTATTAACAGTTTGCTGCCTGAATCTGCTGCAGTCGCATGAAAAACAGACATTTTTTTGTTTCAGTTTTTAAGAAACGACTGAAACTAAAACATCTGAGTGAATCTATCAGTAATTAGTGCTGAAAGCATCAAATATGAATGATTTTCATCACCTGCTGATTATCCTGTAGTTTAAATCAGATATTCTGATGATAATCGACTCTATTTATCTATTAAAGGAGCCAAATGAAGAGATTAGACTGCAGGCATTAATTAAACACATTAAAAGCTGGATGATGTTTCAATTCCCTGCTTTTAAATTCAGATAAAACTGATAAACAGCCTCTTCACCGGGTTTAATGAGTCAAAATAAGTTTCAGTTACCATAAAAACATGTTTAGTAACACCATCAAAACGTAACCAGACTGTTTCCTTTAAATGAGTCACATGCATTTTTGCTTTTCTTGATGACATCATCAGATTGTGCAGTTAGCAAATGTGACCTCTGGATTAAATCCAGTCACATGTGGATTAAATCATATCCTGACCACTAAAAGCAGCGGATACCAGAGGAGTCGAGTA